ATAATATATATATATATATGTCCAAAACTAAATGCTTACTTTACTTGGACGTTATTTATTATTTATATATTATTTAATTAGGTATTGTTTATTTATATCTATCTATCTATCTATCTATCACTAAATATAAAATTTTACACAATCTTTTCTTTTCTTTTCTTTGTTTAATACTTTGTCTGTTTCTCAACAGAAAAGGTTACAGAAGGAACTGCTAGCCTTGCAGAATGATCCGCCTCCTGGAATGACCCTAAATGAGAAGAGCGTACAGAACACCATCACACAGTAAGACCGTCATTTCCCGACTCTTCGTTTAATCTTATACCCGTGTGTGTGATCACGGTGTACTTATTAACAGGCTAGCTTTCTCAGGCCATCCTGTATCAGGGACTGTCACAGGGGAAACATGTTAAAGCACACTGACTCATTGTTATTACGTGTTATTCATTGTTGTCATGTTAAACCTGGAAAACTCTCGCCCATTGTGGGCGTTGTTTTTTACAAAATTTATTTATTATATATTTTTTTTAAATGTTATCAATTTTAAAACTTTTCCCATTTGGTGTCATTTGTAAGGCTGCTCTGCCCGATGTATAGAATGTCTGCTCAGACTAATCAAAAATTAAAGTTGTCAGCTCGAGAGGCTAGTATTTCTGTAACAAACCTTACTGACCTCTTTTTGGCCCGTGCATGTGTTTGTATCCATTTCTGGAAATATCTAGCAGTCTTTTATGGGAAAAAGCTGTCACAAGGCAAAAAAGTTCCATCACATTGCTCCACAAAAGGATTGCCTAACTGAATCTGCGTATAACCAATCTTGTGCTCAGTGGTGTGTGGAGTTACGTCAGAAATTGGAAAAGAGCTGTCTTTACACGTTTTTGTCTTTCTGTGTAGAAGTAATGAAAATAAATGATTGATATATTTACTTGGTTTCAGAGAGCTAAACTTTGACAGCCAAGGGTTATAAAAATAACATTTATTTTATGTAACTCTGGTTGGTATTGTGGGAACACCATGCAACTTAGTTTACTATTTATATTCAGGAGCAGCTTTGTAGCCTTGTCTTGGTACATATTTTGTCAAAGAAATGTCAGATATGTGTTACCAGTTTAGCAGCTTGCCAGACGTGTTTGTCCGGAACTAATTGGTCTTTGTGTTCGTTGTAGTCCATCAAGTTTTTTTGAAGGAGATTAGTCAGATATGTTAGATAGGAGGGCAGTGGTTTAGGTTTAACCTAAATATGAACTATTACTCTAGACTTTCTCTTAGTGTCTCCACTCACGTGAAGTAATATACTACAGGTCATAAGTTTGGAATAATTAATATTTTTGTGTTTTTTTTCTTATGTTCACAATAGATGCTTTTTATTTATTTATTTATGTATGTATTTAATTATTGTTTAAATTGAAGATACAATAAAACAGTAATATTGTGAAATAATATTTCAGTTTAAAAGAACTGTTTTCTATTTTAATATATTAACATTTATTTTAATTTATTCTTGTCTTGACAAAGCTGAATTTTCAGCAGCCATTACTCCAAGCTTCAGTGTCACAGAAATCATTCTAATATGATGTTTGGGTGGAAATCACGATACTTTTTTTTTTCTTTGCCGAATAGAACATTTAAAACAGGATTTATTTGAAATTCTATCGAAAAGTAAAAATAAATAAAAATGATTCGTTTTTTCAAAACTTACCCCAAATTTTTGAATGGTAGTGTATCACTATAGTAGTTTCCATATTTTTTTATTCATCAAACAATCCTGAAAAATAAAATGAATCACAGTTTCCACAAAAATCAAAAAAAGCAGCGCAACTGTTTTTAACATTGGTAATAATAATAAATGTTTCTTGAGCATCAAATCATCATATTAGAATGATTTCTGAAGGATCATGTGACACTGAAGAAAATTCACTTTTGCAAAAACAGGAATAAATTCAATTTTAAAACTATTAAAATAGAACACAGTTCTTTTACAATTTAATAATATTTAAAAATACAATATTTGATTTTAT